AAGTATTTCGATTTGATTGCGTTAAGCCTTGAAGCTAACATGTAAATATCCAAAGACCTATTTATACATTTCACATTATCTGTTATAGATGTGTTCTCAGGTATTTAAAAAATAAACAGATCCACTAATAGCAGCAGGGCTTTGCCCCCAAAAGATTTTCATTTAAAGCGGCCGGAACTTCAATAGGGAGCATCACGCAATTAAGCTCATATGAGACAAATCGATTAGAAACGTAAAATTGCCTCTTTCAGGTTGACTCTGTTACAAATGAAGAGCTCTCCGCAAGGACTATTCTCGCCCGAAGCATACAGTTAGCTAAATGGCTCAAGTCTCAAAACATAGGAATTGGAGACAGTGTATCTGTGAATAGCGAAAACCGTGGCGAATTTGCCATAACGGCGGTAGCTACGTTTTTAATAGCTGCCACTTTCGCTCCTTTAAACCCTGGCTACACCCCAGGTGAACCATACAACCCCTTCGATCCGCAATAATACATCTCAACCAATTTCCAGCGGAACTGAAACATGTGCTCAACTTATCCAAACCCAAACTGATATTCTGTTCGGAGGAAACAATCGAGAAAATGCTCAAATTTAAGGCCACTGAGCCCAGTATTCGGCAGTTGGTTGTATATGGAAATACTAAACCGCCTAATACCGATGTGGTGATCTTTGAGGACATCCTGCAAGGTAATGGCTTCCCAAATATCGAAGTTCCTAGATCTAACATCGGGATTTTCATGCAGGAGTAAGCACAGTGGATGAAAGCTTCAAAAGCCCAGAAATAGATCTAAAAGAAACCGTAGCCACAATTCTGTGCTCCTCCGGAACAACCGGCTTACCGAAAGGCGTAATGTGTACTCAAGACAATATGAGTACATATGTTGATGTTGGAAGGTACTGACTTAATCACATAAACTGGTTGATCGTGGTTAAATGGGACCTTTCAGAATTCAGCTTGCAGATTTAGCGTTAAACGACGACCCAAGCGATGCGATGCTGGGATTAACCCCGTTCTTTCATTCAATGGGCTTTATGTTGATGTTCCTCAACCTCGTCAGAGGCAAGAAGATGGTAATCATTAGAAAATTCCAATTGAAATCCTTCTTGGACACTGTTGTTAAATACCGGGTAATTCAGTTGACTCACCCGAAAACTGTTGAGATTTACAAGGCTTTTTAGATCAGACGGCTAATCGTTCCTCCGCCTGTGCTGATACTTTTGCTGAAGAATCCTTTGGTAAAACAGTACGATTTAACCGGGCTAAAAGAAGTGAGGAGCGGTGCTGCGCCATTAGGAAAAGGCATGGAGAACGAGTTGAAGCAAAGGTGTGGGTTGGATTTTTGAAACCGACTGTTTCATTGCTTCTTATATTCTTAGATTTAAAGTTGGAATGGTGTCGCAGTCCTATGGAATGACTGAAACCACGCTAGGAGTTCTGATGGCTATGGGCGACAACAAACTGGGATCTGTAGGAAAAATCGTTACAGGAATGATGGTCAAGGTATGCTGGGAAACTAAGGTTCCGGTCTTGTTCCTAACTATTCTCTAGGTGATAGATGAGTCAGGTGAGCCTCTTGGTCCCAACCAAGAGGGAGAGCTGTGCTTCAAAGGTCCCCTAATTATGAAAGGATATGTGGGGGACCCGAAAGCTACTGCTGAAACCATTGACAAAGACGGCTGGCTTCATACGGGAGACGTTGGATACTATGATGAAGATAAACAGTTCTTCATCGTTGACAGGCTTAAGGAACTAATTAAATACAAAGCCTTCCAGGTAAATTGGCAAAAAGTATCTGAGTGTGTGGAGTAACGGATTGTCGTCCTGCAGGTGGCTCCCGCGGAATTAGAAGCCCTTTTAATGACGCACCCGAGCATCGCAGATGCGGCCGTTGTGGGCTTGCCAGACGAAGACGCCGGCGAACTTCCTCTGGCTTACGTGGTGAAAAGGCCTGGCAAAGAGGTTTCGGAAGAGGAAGTAAAAAAATTTGTGGCTGGTAAGGCGGGTATTCATTTCCTTAAGTCGGGATTGCTTATGGCTGCTTTCAGATACCCTGTCCCATCAGAAACAGCTAAGAGGCGGCGTTTTCTTCATCAAGGAAATTCCAAGAAACCCGACAGGAAAAATCCTTAGGCGTGTGCTGCGCGATAGGGCGAAGAATTTAGTCAAAATCAAGTCAAAGCTTTAGTTGGGCAGTTGGACTATTGTCGGCCTTTGCAATGTTTGCAGATTTATTTCATTCGCCAAGTTCGATTTTTCCAAAAGGCCCTGTATATATCTTTGTGCAATTTTGTTTATCTACTTAAGTTAATTGTTTTATACATAAAGTATTGAATCTAATACATTCCCCCTAGTATACTATAAGAATTAAATTTGAACTACTTACCATTGACGATATTCTAGTCTGATTCTCGTCACATAGGATGTTTTTTTTTTAATAAACCGTTGTTGGACAGCATTTGCAAATTTTAACAAACACTTTTATTGGTCGAACCTTTCACAACAAAACCACTTAAGGCCAATATTCCTTAGCCATTCTTCCCTTGTATTTCGGCAAGTCAGGTCTGCAGGCCTTGGGAATGTACCTGGCAGGTCTCTCATCCAAACGTTTAGTCCAGGGCTTTTTAAACAACTCGAAGAATCGCAGGCGTTTGTCCATGGGCCGCGTTTTGTGGTCTATTTTGTATATTTTTTCCCACGCGTATATTTCATCTATCGGTTGGAGCCGAGGACGATTGGTCATTATGTATTTATATTCTCTCTCCAGCCATTGTCGTTTGTCATCATCCTGAAATCACACGATTGTAGATTGAAACTTCTACAACATTTCCAAACATACCTCATAATCAGCAATAATTTTCTCTTCCTGGCTCAAATATGGCCTCATATTAATTCCCAGTCTCTCTGCAGGGGCGTTACCGTAAAATTGCAGCAGCATCTTCAGAACATCCTCGTTCAGTCCCACTATTTTTCCGTCATTGATTTCGGCGTATAATTTCACGTTATCCGTAGTCCAGCAAACGTTCCTTTTCGGGTTCTCTGTAGTGTGATTACCGTGCATTAGAAGAGTGTTCAGCTGGTAGGTGAAAAACTTGAAATCCTGTCCGTTGGTGAGCACAGTTTGGGTTACAAGCGGGTAAGTTAGATCGTTTAAAGTTGTAAAACCTGCAAGCGTGAATGAGTTTCCGATAAAGCACCTAGTTCAAGTTATGTTTCCTTACCTAGATAGTTGGCTTGGGAGTGCAACCAAGCATACGAAGCCAAAACGCCCTGCACGTTCAGTGCTTCGGTAACATTCTCTTCTCCTGGATAAACTACCGATCGTTTCTTCAAATGCCCAGTTTTCAGAAAGGATATTAGCCCAAACGTATGGGAGTCGCCAGGCCAGAAGCCTAAATGCAAATATATTATATGAAGGTGCTGCCTTTTTCTCCTCTATTTACCTGGGATATTGGCGGCGTGTCGATATTCGACTGGGATACCGATGACACGCGGATCATATTTGAAAAATGGCACTTCCAAAGCAGGATTTTCTGCTTCCGAAGCAGATATGATGCTAGGCAACGGTAACTGCGATCTTAAAATAAGAAATTTAGTAAAATTTCGGTGGAGGAAAAAGCCTTGGTATTTCATACCTTAGGGTTAAGATTGGGGCACCCAGGTAGCCAATTACTCTATCAATGGGGTCATTTTCGAATTGTTTGAAAAAATGGTGTCCGGCCCGCACCCTTTTCACTTCATTAGGTGGAACCATTCCTCCAACTCGCCAGGCTGCTTCCAATCTAGGCTCAATGTCCACCTTTTCAAAGAGTTTGCTTATCAATCAACTGTTTATTTGGTAGGCCAAGGATATACATACCTGACTGTCCGCGATATGTGGATACTGATGGGCTAAGCTGTTGTTCAGGATTCTACTCAGGCTCTTTACTATTGCAGATGCGTGTAAGTTTGCCTTGTCATGATCCTCTAGATTTTCCTCTCTCAGCTCATAAGATTTCCTGAAAATTGCTCATGTTATTAGCAGCGCTCATGGGCTGGGACACTGTCGGAACCTCACCTGATTCCTTCCAGTTCCATCAAAACAGCTTCTTCGATATCTTTGGCGATAGTTTCGAGGTTTTCTGTAGAAACATTCTGGTAATATGCCGGCAGTTCTTTGCCTTGTATTAAATGAGTTTTAGTTATATGCTGCGCTATTGGCAAGCAATTATAAGGAATGTGGTCTTCATGAAACACGAAGGTCTTAAAACCGTAATACCGGGGCATGTTCAGTTTCAGCTGTTTCTCCTCCACGGTTTTAACATTTCGAATCTCAGTACTATTTTCCTCAAACCTGCGGTCCAGCTTCTTTTTATAGGATAAATCCAGAATGGGGGGGTATTGCGGACTGGCGGTATATTCATCATCTTCTTGTACAGCCGGCGAGGAAAACGATCTCGCTTGCAACCAAGCCCGAGGGGCAATGATCCTTTTTAAGAAAATTAGCCTCATTTTTTGAGGCACTCACTTTGAAAACTTCAAACTAACCCTACATAACCATACTTTTTCATATAACTTTTCAGTCACAGATTACAGAGTAACCTCTGTGATTTGGCTTTTCAGTTTTCATGACATGTAAACAGGGGTGAAGTTTGGCAAATTTCCTGAAATGAAGAAAAGTCAAAGTGCTAGGTTACGTGTACTTGTTTTCCTTCGTTATTTATTTACTAACAAGGCTGAAATATATTTTTTTGATTTAAGTAAATATTGGTCGGATAAAGCACGTAATGAAGTGTTCATTAAAATTGTTCAGCCTTCATCGATTTCATCTTGAGCAACTTAATTAATGTATGATTTTTTCATTTATCGGCCTGCAAAAAGCCGCAAGCACTTTCCCCCAAAGGTGCCCCTTTACAATGAGCAGCACAGTTGCTACTGCTGAAACTACATCTGCTCAAAGGCAGGCGGAAACAACTAATTCATCTAGTAAAAAACCGCGCATACCTGGATTTGGCAGGGAGGTCATTCTAAAGGTAATAGATGAAAAATCTGTACAACTAAATCGCCCATATTCAATGCAAAAGTAACAATTCCAGGTGGTTGAAATGTGTAAACTGGAAGGAGAAAGAAATGCGCCCCTTTGCCCGTTAAACGCCCCCACACAAAGAGCCGCAATGTATAGTGGCGTCTCGGAGAGCACCATTAGAAAAATAAAGAATGAAAACAAACATTCCAACCCACATCAGAACAAAGTAGATCTGTGAATAAAACACCCCTAAACCGACTAAATGAAAGCTTTGCAGGCAGGCAGCGAGAAGAAGTGTTCGCAGCCAAAAAAGCGAAATTACAAGGGCCAAGTAATCGCACCCAGCGCCAGAGAGATAATATTGAAAGTGATTAATGCTTGTTGTCAAGAGTATCAAAGCGGAGGATTTATTGCTCCTTTGATTAGCACTATAGAAAGAGCGGCTTATTACACGGGTAACTAAACAACCTGCCCAATTCTCTGTGATGCGCTTTATGTTGTTTCAGGAGTCTCACAATCGACGGTCCACCGAATAAAGCGGGAAAATAAAATCAGAAATGAAATCGATCAGGAAATGATGCTGCCCACCCCAGGCACGAAAAACAAAAAAAATATATTTACCGGAAAAGTCAACGACAAGGACTTTAATAAAATTAGAAAGCTCATCTATGATTTGCTACTTGATAATGTCGTCCTCACAGTAGGCTCGGTGCTGAAAGCCACCAAAGAGCTCGATATTAATTTCGACTATTCCGAGCACACGCTTTCAAGGTAAAAAACACTGCTGAAAAAACCTCGTTTGCTAAGGGTTTCCCATGCAGGTTGCTGACAGTCAAAGGCTTTCTTTGGCACTCCTTGCCGAAAAACCGCAAAGTTTTGCTGGAAAAAACGGAGATTTTTCAAGCCAGGTTAAACTGCATCAGACAAATTAAGCGCTGCGAAGCAGAAGGATGCTTGGTTGTGTATTTAGATGAGAAACTAATCGGGTCAGAGGTAGACACACAGTCAAACTTCTGGGGCAACAAAGGAATTTTATGCGCCAGAAGGCTTGTGCTTTTTACGGAATTTTCTTCACAGTCTATCACTAAGGATATTTTAGGGTTTATCCACCCCAACGGTAAGGAAACCCCCTGACCAGCCATGGAGAACTAGAAGTGCTTAGTTTTTGCGCTTGTAGATCATCAGCCTGTAGTGAACTGTTTATCTGAAAAGTGGCTAGAGGAGCACCTGTTCCCCAACATTCCTCCACGCAGTTTAATTATCATGAATTGCTGCTACAATCAGGTGAAGAAGGAAACAAATCCGCAAAAATATTTCTATATTTCTAACGATTTCCTTAGGGAATGGCCATCCCCAATATATACTCCACCAGGCCCAAGTTGATTGAATTTCTAAAGAAGAACCACATAGAATACAACGAGCGACAAACGTGCGCTCAGCTACTCGACACTATTAAAGCCAACCTTAATATTGTCCCGGAAGAGTTTAAGCAATTTGACCAAACCATTGAAAAACACGGCCATATCGCGCTTAGGTGACGACTTTTTAAAGGGTCTTTTGCTCATTTACTTAAGGTGGTTTTTTTAGGCTGCCAGAGTTTCTATCTGATCTCAATCCTATTGCCCTGACTTATGCGGACATTAAGCAGACAGTTAGACGAGACCTGGGCAGCACAAAAGCCAGTTTAACAAATATAGCCCGCACAGTGGCGGATGCTTTGCAGGTAGAAGCGATTGGGGCAATTGTTGATGGCATTATTGAGACTGAGGACTACTTTTTGAGCAAACAGGAAGGCATTTTGCAGTTCTATGAGGCTTTAGGTTTTGTAGCAGATTCGGAACTGGGTGGAGCTCCTGGGAGAGGTTCGCCCAATGTAGATGATGTTAAGACAGACATAAATGAGGAACCATAACAACTGTGTGTGTAAATACATGTTTCTTTAGAACTGTATATATTTTCCCCCCTTTCAATTCTCTATCCAACGATGCCAAAACGAGTTCTCTGACTCGAATGGTTCTTGAGAAACTTCGAAAAAAACAGCGTCATGTTCAAGTGGATTTTGCAATTAAAAAAAAACCACGCAAATCTAAAACTGCTTGAATTCAAGCATTTTTGAGAAAACTGCCAACATTTCCCCATCCATGGTTCACTTTCTAAAAAGGTCATTTATTTCTGTCTAGAATGATGTACAAATGAGCGTTCTTGCTCATTTTGCCTCCGAGATATGAGCAAAAAGGGGACAGAAAACATGAAATTTTGGCATAATCTTAAAGTGTCTGATATTCAAATTTCGCTTTCTG